AACAATCCTTAACAAGAGTTGGATTGTCTCATTCCAAGAAAAGTATCGTAGTTAGAAGTGATTGAGGCTCAGCACAAGTGTACACGGAATGAGTCAAACTGAATTGTGACAAAGTATCGAATAATCTTACTAATGTAATAAATGCGAATGTTTAGATGGATGGATGTTTGTCACAAGGTATCTCCTGAATGACAGCATGGATATGACTGAAATTTCACATAGATGTAGAACATAATCTAGAAGAATACATCGGCTACTAATTGTTTTTTTTTTAAATCCGCGCGGACGGCGTCGCTGGTAACAGCTAGTATATCAATAATATATGAAACATATGTAAACAATGATGTACAATGAAGGTGCTAATAACTTTTTAACGGTGAATATATAGAGTTCAATGGATCACTATATACAATATAAAAACAAAATAAAAAATATGAAACCAAAGGGACGTAGTTCGGTCAGACTTTCCCATAACAATTTCTATAAAATTCTCCTTATTCTTTTCTTTGTTCTCACGCCCGAATAAACGCAAACTGTGAACTCGAAATGCAATCCGAAACAAAGTATTCTATGAGGTTTTTTGTACGTAACAAAATATCTGGTAGGGGAACACTCGCAAATCGTTTTTAGCGATGCCCCCGCCCCCTTTGCCCGCCACTCCGCTGTTTACCTCTCTCGGATTACTCGTCTCAGTTGCGACGTAACTCTGCACATGACAAATAAAACTAGTTTAGAATGTACTCCGTATCAATTTAGTAGCAACATTTTGTTTGTGCTTCACTTTTAAAGGAGATTTTTAAAAGCGCTTTCTCGTTGTTTTTTGTGTTTTAACATTTTAAAGTGCTGTTCATTTGAGACGTGGATGGTGGATGGTTTTAACAGTCATTTTTTTAGAACCTAAACTAATATACGGATAGGTTATAATGCACACTTGAATTAGATATGACATCATGATAGTTCATAGGATACTGTAGGCTGTCATACGTGGTACTCATATTAATATATGTATACTATGACATCATCAATTAAATCATTATCTAAATAAAATAAATTAATTTGTTTGTCCCACGATATGTTCTTAAATCACTGGACTGATGAAACTTTGGTAAGATACACAAAAAAATGTTGCTTAAAGAAATTAAATATTTCTTTAAATGAAACTTTATCCATATTTTAAGATATTGTTTGATATATTCATCAAAAATCATATATTTTAACAAAGTTATTAAAAATTTGAAATCAAACAAGGAAAGGATGGGAAGTGGAAGTGGAATTTCCGGATGAGAGTATTATGGAAAGGGAAAATATTTTCTTTCTGTGCATCCTCTCCTACGCTGATTAAAGGTAGGCAACGCATATGCAATTGCGTATGTCTATGGGCAACGGTCACTTCGCTATTGCAGCGATTACACATACACATGCTTTAAACAATTATAATATTAAACTATACTAGTGTACTTTATGCATTCAACTTACTTAGCTAAAGAAAATGAAAGAGAACATAAAGAAACAAAAAGTAAACATTCACAAGTCTTCCATCTGTATCGAGGACCTAATTACGATGAAATCTCTGCCGATGTACCTTTTTCTTGAGTTCTCTGATACGTAAAGGACATCTTTTATTTCCGGAAATGAATAGTTTCCATTAAAATGTCGGCGAATAGGAAAGAGATTGCTTTTTCAAAATAAAAATGTTGATAGGAAATATAAATCTAGTGATTAATTATTACTAGTTACCTAATAATTCTGCAACGAATATAAATCAAATAACATCGAAAAACTGTATAAAAATTTGTCGTTCCTTCATTTTATTACTGATTTACTCTACTAGAATATTTCAGTAATCTCTCTTCATAGTAAACTTGAACACTTTATTACATCCGTTATTTTCTTTCCTTTAGATACTGAAAAGATAGTTCATAAAACAGATGATCGATGGAGAACTATGTTTAGAACGAAACTAAGAAATATAATAAAAATATATTTAAAACGTAATACCTTGTGCAAGCTAGTTACAGGAAATTCGTAGAAAAGAGTGCAAGATATTCGCGAAGACTAACGAGCAAATGGCCACATAAATATGACTAAAACAGCGAAGTAACCGCTGCCCATAGACATATGCTATAAAGATATACCCTTAAAGATAAAACATTGTCTTTAATCAACAAGTTTAGAGACTAAATAAAATTTTAAAGTCTATAATATGTAGGTACTATAGAATACATAGATGTAGAACATAGTTTGGAAGAATACATAGGCTACTAATTAAGTTTTGTTTAATTGCGCGCGGACGGAGTCTAAGGCTAGTCTTATATTACCACCAGATCAACAACCTTTTGCCTATTGGATTAGTAAAGCAAAAAAAGTTAGTAATCGATTAACGTTTACACAATTTTGCATGACGATTTTTTATCCATAAAAAGATATTGTTGAACTTTACAGTACTGTGTAAACACAATGTATTTTCCTCGACCTTGATAGTAATAGGAAGAGCAATAACCTTAAGAGACACTTTAATTTGGCCGTGCTAATTGCCCGCCCCTCGCCCGTGTCGGCAATATCCGCCTGAAACCCGGAGCACGATAACCTGCACTTGACATTCGGAGTCCATCGCCGCATAGATATTGCGAATTAACTCCTAACCTTTAACAGGCCATCTAGTGTTAATTGTTTCAAATCAAACGATTGTTAATTACTGATTAAATATTATTATAAATTAAGATACGATTAATACAAAAAACGCATTCATATTCTAAAATAATCTTTTAATAAAGAGATCAGCGAAACACTATCTATCTAAAAAAATATATTTACTAATACGGTAATGCTTTGAAGGCTTTGGTTACTAATATCAATTAGTACCTTAAGCCTCTTGTTTATTTTTTTAAACAGAGCATATTATAAGAAAGAGCCTTACGAGGATTCTCCTTATTGTTCGTGTTTCTTATAAAATTTGGATTTTGTAATCCACGTAAGCGTTAACAGCGGGAGGCGAGCGCTTTAAATATTAACAAGTTCCCGCCAAACAGCACCTCGGCGTTTATTTTCGTAAAACAATAAGCAGATGGTGTAATAAACGGGAGAGGCTTTTCCTCTGACATTTTTTTAAATATATAAAATAAGAATTTTTAATTGTTAGCAGCAACTTTTGTAGGTTATGAATTGTATTGGCGCCATTTTGTTTAGTTGCGCGGGAAATATGGCAACCCTCATATAATGTTTCTAGAGAAAAATATGTTTTAAACGATAATTAATTTTTATGTTAGAAATTTTTCTCTAAAAGAATTTTTAAAATACAAATAATATTGTATTTCTAATGTTGCATCGTGCATATTTGTTTTTGAGGTTATATTTCTTTGTTTTAGTTGCATATTTACTTTTGTCAAAGCAAATATTCTTATAATGCCTATAAATCAAATCAACTGATAGAAAGTTTATTGAAATGATGTAAAATGTAATTGTTTCAACCCGACTTTACAATTTATAGGCAGTATGTCTTGATGCTTTTGTAAAGTGTTAATAGTAAAAATTTCATTACGTTAAAATTGGGCATTTGGTGTTTTATATTTTTAGCATGTATAACCAAAATGAGATATAGAGAATAAGAAGCGAGAATTTGTGTACATTCATGTCACCTGTTTATTTATAATTCACTCGGAAGTTTATTATAACAAATTTAAATAAAATAGCGACGGAAAACCGCGGCGTGAACTTCACGGTATAGTCCGAGAGCGTCGGCAAGTCAGGAAGGAAAGGTTTCCAAAGTTTGTACGAAAAAACCCCGAAAATTAAAGCCGAACATTGTGTTTCCACCGGTCGAGGGTCCGCGGGGTAAATATTATTCGTGCTCCGTCTTTTATTTCCTTTGTTTTACACTTTATTATTTGCGGTCCGAGCCCACCTTAGCCGAGGCGTGACCGCCGACGTCAGAATTAAAAGAACCAGCCCCCGGAACGAGCCGCTCCGGACACGTGGACGGGAAATACGTATTCTGTAATAATTCCCGAGGAGATATTAAACTTCCACTCTTAAATACAAAGAAACAAAGACTTCAATGTATCAGATGCGGGCTTTACGCAGTTCTAATTGACGAAATTCGACAAACACAAAAAGTTTTTGCACGCTTCGTGGAGCGGAATTGTACGTAATTAGTAGGACCGATTCGGGCAGGGAAAGTTGCTATCCGTTTCGCCGGCGTCGTAAAGACGGAATTTTATTCGAGGGAATGCGCTGCCCCGGGTCTTTATGAAAACTGTCCCCTTCTTCGAAGCTGATTCTGTAATTTGTGCTCCTCAAGTGATTCCTGAGGACAGTCCACCAGATGGTGCGATATTGGACATTCGAATTTTATGCGTCAACCCTCGCCGGCGACGTTTCATTCTGACGGATCGTAAAACGAGGAATTCGTCAACGAGGGAATATAGTGCTACGTGCAGGTCTGGCAGGCCGCAGAAAACGACGGGAATGAATTCCAGATGAGCCTTTATTTATATTACGACCGCCTCTTGTGACCTTTGTCGGGCGAGAGATGTCAACCGAGCCTACTGTTTTGTTTTCTTTTTATTATGTCATAAAAGTTACTACAGTTCAATTACTTGCAAAAGACGAAAAGATTTATGTTTTAGACTTAAATATGTAAATAAGCCGTGTTGTTTGGATTAACTCAACGAATATTAATTCCACTAATTCAAATCTATCTATATATATAAAAGAAACTCGTGTTAGTTACACTATTTATAACTCAAGAACGACTTTACCGATATGGCTGAAAATTGGTGAGGAGGTAGCTTAGAGCCAGGAGACGGACATAGGATACTATTTTTTTTTGAATTTATGCCTTGAAGAGCTGCTTTTTATTTAACTTACTAATATTATTAATGAGAATGTTTAGATGGATGTGACGTGGATGGATGGGTGGGCTACACTAATTAAGTTTTTTATATATCAACGCGGACGGAGTCGCGGGCGACAGCTAGTTAGAAATATTTAGGTAAACTTACCATTGACATGTTGAAATACTTTTTATTCGAATGTAGTTTGCCAGCATCGACGTTCTGAAACAATACAAGTTGTTGTTTTAGACAATTTAAAACAATTCTAATTCACTATATTTTCCAGGAATATGCTACAATAAAAATAAATATTTAAAAACTAGGTTTCACAACCTAATCTAGAGCAGATAGATAAAGTGCTAGAGCTAAAACGCACTTTGTTTTTATTGAATAAATTGTTTGAGCCTTCTTCATACTATTATCTAGGCAAAGATCAAACTTTATCAGACAAAATAACTTATTGAAAGAATTTTATTAGGTCAACCCTTTCTTCCCAATCAAGGCAGGAATTTGTCAATAGGAATGGGGGGATGTGGGGAGTGGGGGGTGGAATCGGGTCGCTTTGTCAGAGCAATTGCCTGCGACGCCGGCACCTGAGCCTTTGTACAAATGTTGCGAACACATGCCCGTAATATATAAGACGCGAACGAGCCTCGCTCGGGGAAAACGAAAGGAATAATGCGGAAAAAGTGTATGTTATTCTACGTGAGTATGTTATACTGTATTGAGCGTCGGTGGCTCAGGGGTCAAGCACTTAGATTGCAATCTGCAGGTCCTGGGTTCGAATCCCACCATGTACCAATGTGTTTTTCGATTTCCGATTTACACATGTACATTTATCCGACGTTCTTACGGTGAAGGAAAACATCGTGATGTAACCTGTGCATATCTGAAAAGATATGTGTGAAGTAAACCAACACGCACTTGGTCAGCGTGGTTGACCGAGCCCCTCAGTGGGGACGTAAAGCGAACTGATGATAATGATGTTATGATGATGATGTTATACTATATAATCTTGCAAGAAACAAGATGTTGTCTTAAAAAATTATACTTTCAACTTAAATTTAACAAGGGTATGTATTAGAAACCGATAGACTTGACTATTTTGATTATAATGTAAGAAATAATTTGTTCCTCACTTTCCTACAAAATGATTGATTTGGGTTTATTTGAAATTGAAATGATTGTTTGTTTTTGCTATACGTATCCTGTAATTGTAATATATTTAGTGTAGATATAAAATTCCTGTGTTTAAGCCTTAAATGGTTTTTTTTATTTATTAGGCTTAATAGTTATTTAAAAATATACAAAAAAGGGTATATTGTAGACCGTGTACCACAATAAATAAATACGGTCCGTCCACGAGTGCTGGCGGCGGACGCCATAATTCATGGTCCCCCGCGTCGAGCGCGGTCCCGACGTTTTGTACATTTTGCGATGCCGTGTGGACACCCGAGTGTGCCGTGTCCGCGGTTTTAGACGATTTTAATATTAAATTCTATTTGCGCCAAAACTGGGGAACGAATTTTGTGATAATAATATGGCATCTTTTTGCAAGTTTCTTGTTCAAATGAGCTCATAACTTTTATAAAATTATCAGGGTGTTAACTAAATTAGATTTAAAATAAAATAAATAAAATGACTGTTTTATATTATTTAATGCCCATGATAGTAAAGTTTGTATGTTCATACATCATTAGTAAATATACAGTTAGTAATGCGTTTGGAATATATCGTAAAAAACATTTAAATACAAAATGGACTGTCAAAGAGAAAACGCTTTGCGTTACAATTTGAGCACTTCAATCTACATACGAAAAGTACGAGTCAAGCCTCCTATAAGCCAGTTGAGTAAAGTCGACGTTGAGTAAATTATTCGTTGAGCATTCTGCTCAGGTATTAGCAACTGACAGCGCTTGTTAGATACTATTAGCGCAACACGGGGTATTTGCATGACAAAGGCTCCGACGGACAGGTTCACTTGAGTGTTGGTTTTCAGAGTATCGCGCATTAACTCGTATGTGTAAGTAAATGAGATGAGAATGTGTTGGCTTTGTTAAACTTCGCCTTGTCAGGTATATAGAGTTACTTATTTAAATTATAATATTTATGTTAGACTAGTTGTTGCCTGCGACTCCGTCAGTGCGAAAATAAAAAAAATAATTAATAGCCTATATGGTTTATCAGATTTTTTTACATCTATGCCAAATTTCAGCGAGATCTATGCAGCCGTTCTGGATATACCTTCTAACAAACATCCATCCATCCATACAAATATTCACATTTATAATATTAGTAAGATATGATGTTAAATTGGTATCTTTTTTACTTAATGTTTAGAGTTTTCAACATGAATTTTAATCGCAACATTAAGAAGCCTCTTACACACAAAAAATCACATACACTCAGTAAAATAACACATAAAAATTCATACAGTTTTAATAATAACAAGAACAAATGAATAAATGTCAAATATTTTGTATTAAACAAAAATTATGTCAAACAACGTCACGTCAATAGTGTAAGCTACAATCAAAATTGCTTTCATTTGGTTGACCCGATTTGTTACTTTATGAATTTGAAGCAATTTGTCGCTTCGACATTTTACTTTGTCGAGAACTATTTGAATGGACAATTCAATGAAACAAATTAATCGAATATTTCTATTGAAGTATGGCTGGTAAAATTTTAACTTTTTTATGGAACGTTTAGTTTTATTTCCTATAAGCTTTAGTGTTGACATTTTTATGGGTAAATAAAGGACTTGTCTAGTCCGGCTTTAACGCCTTTATGTTCTATGTTTTATATAACTCTATTGAAACCGTGGATTTATGAGACTAAAATCCCTGTTTCAAACATATTGTTATCTCTATTTTATCAAAGATGAAAGACAGGGATGGTTATATGTTTTATATAGAGATTTTATTACTACTAGAATCTCTCTAGTTGCTAAGTAGAAATAGAGAATAAAGTTTTTTCAATTCAAAACTTTTTGCATGGATGGATTTTTTAGATGGATGGATGGATGTTTGTTTTTAGGTATCTACGGAACGGCTCATCAGATCTTTTTGAAATGAAGCACAGATGTAGGTTATAATCTGGAAGAACACATAAGCTACTCATTTAGTTTTTTTTTAATTCTGCGCGGACGGAGCCGCGGGCGATGGCTAGTTTAGTCATAAATAAGACTATCATTCCGATAATGCACTAACGCATTAAGGTAGAGGTCATTATTTAATGTCAAACCAATAACATGTGAAAGATATCTTCGTGTTCATGGTGTGGCTCCAGGCTCTTACGTGATTGGTTCAGACCTTTTCCCTTCCGCTGTATGCATCAAACGCCTCACACACCCTCGTCAGCTGAGGATCTTGACCCTCTTTAACCAAATGTCGATTTTATATATAAATATATTGGGTATTTACATATCATTATGATAGGATTTTCAAATCTGTTAAATTGCGTTATGCAAAACTGCTTTTTAAAAATTATTATTTGTCAAATTTAATAAATGAAAATCTTTCAAAATTAATTTATTACAAAAGTTATAAACTATTTAATTATCTTTAATACATAAAAGGTGGTATTGTCCGTCCTGTTATTTCAACTCTACATTCAACGATGCGTCACATACGTATCACAAAAGCTTTGTCCCTAAAAATAAACACGCTTCAGTTATTCATTGCTTCAACCTTTACTATTTTCAAACTAATTGCCTTTGACGTAGCGAACTAATGTAACTTGGAACAGACCTTAATGCTTTCATACGACTGATTTATATTTGTCTCCGTCACCGCGAACAAATACATCTTCAGCGGGGTGAAAAATGATGCGCCGCAGAGACAATGCCGCTAAAATTGTTTCTCGTCCGCCGCAGGACTACGGACCCTTGTGATAATAAACAGGAACTAAGAAACGTTAATGGTAATAGAAGAAGTAATGGTAAAATGGTGTTTTCTCGTAGTAATTTAGAAATATTATCCAATTAGGTTAGATGTTAAACATAACAATGCTGTCGGAAGATCTGCTACTGTTTAGGATACTAGGAAACGTAAATTTTCGAAACTAATATTGTATACTTGTGTCGCGAGGATATCGTACTGTATCATTCCGTACAAACAGCGTTGAATTGTAAATGAGAGTCGTCTTTTCCGTCAGTACTGGCATTGCGACTACACGGCTTACACGAATTTAAAAAATGTTTATCATCTTGAAAATCGCTGCGACTTTTTTCACTAATATCTTAACAAACAGGTAAGCCCTTTGTATTTAAATAAATGTAAGGCAAGGCAGTGATTTTAGTTGCTAAGCGACTTTGTAGTGTATTCTTATGAAGGTTCCTGTCCAGGCATACTTCTCCGATATTATGTTCTTTCGTCGCCAAAGCCAGTCGCTCGCTACCTGTTTTTGGATATCGTCGTGAGATAGAAAACATTTCTAAATCTCGAGTTAATAAAATACTTAATAAAACAATACAAAAAGACAAACTAGAAACGGAACACGGAGCGACTACGCTGGACCGAGAACATATTTTAAACGGGAAACATTCCATCTTTCCATTTCCGACCAACCTTGGGAAATTCTGTAAATTGCGGAGATATTCAGAAATAACGGCGCTAGCAGCGAGACAAAGGAGTGGGCTAAGCGAAGTAGGTAAGCCATAATCTATTAAGCAATAATAGGGGTATAGCGGGGAGAAACGCGGGGCGACTAATTGGCGGCGAACAAAGGAGCTCACACAAAGCTGGATAGGACCCGTCTAAAGGAGTCGAAGACATTTTTATACGAAACGGTTTATAGTAGATCCGGGCCTTCGTTCCTTGCTAAGGATAGTAGTAAATCTAAGGCGTTCGCTCGCTCGATTACCTCGACTTCCTACAAAGATATCAATATTGTTAATGTACAAGATTTCATTATTTTACACTATAAATTGTTGAACTGTAATCTAAAAATCAAATTATATAAAAAATGTTACCATAAAAATAGTGACCGAAATTCAGATCGCCCACTCGCAAATTGTTGTTTGGTGATAGAAATCAGGTTACCAATTACTAAAAATTTGAATATTTATCGAGAGACGAAGATTATTTTGCATATCAAAAAGGTTTCTAATTTAGTATACGAGGAATACAGCAGTTTCATTGAAATACATTGCACCATTGCGGGCTGTCGTACACACTGAAGAAATATAGGTTACCAAATTAAAATTAATCAGAATTCAC